AACAATCCGGGTCCTCATTTTACCCACCTCGGAAGGATGGAAGGCTGAGTCAACCTTGAGCCGGTGAGATTTGAACAGCCGAACTGCAGAACTGCAGTCAGCTGAAGTAGCCTCCAGTGCTGCATTTAACCACTGCGCCACCGCGGCTCTATCTAACTTGTCCTGTTAGATTTCCACCAGGAGAAACCTTAGACTGTCTCCAGATTGCGTGCCATCTCGTTCCACTGCTTTGTCCGGCCAAAAGAAGTTAAAAGCTGGGAGTATATTAAGCTGACACAAAGATTTAGCTCAGGGAAGATTTAAGCAGGCCGTATTTTATCAAGGGCATTATCTTGGCGAGCGACGTACATCACTTCAGTGCCAAGGCCCGGAGTGGATAATTTGCAGATCTGAGAGACAAGTTGGGCTGGATCACGGGAGACCAAGAAAGAGACATCGACAGGCAATTGATAATGCAGGAAACAGTAATTGGAGACATGTGTGTGTCCTCATGCGATCACTGGTCTAAGACTGTAATAATATATTGATGTTGTTGTATTCACACTCAAGGGGACAGCGAGTATGACAACATTGTGATAGTGTCCAGAGGCCAGGAAACCACATCAGGGATGGCTTTGGTTTCCATGAAAAAAAAAATGGCAAGGATGGATGGAAAATTCAAGCTCTGTTTCTAGTTAAGCCATCCATGTGGTTTTCCTGGCAATAATATCTAAATAGTTTCCTGCAGTTCTTCCGGGGTTCTTTTTTCTTTTAAACGGTCTTCCAATCTTAAAGGGGAGGGCACCAGCCTAGAAGCCAGGACACTATGCGTTCTAGCAGGGTTACTGCCACTTTAAGAAGCTGTATATATATAAGGGAGGCCATGTAAGGACATCTCTCTCTCCTCCTGTTTCTATCTGCATTTTAGTTCTCCATGTAGATTGATTGCCTATTATTTGCCTAACACTTCTATAGACGTATATAGAAGTCTTGTATATAAACCGTTGTTTGAAGAACAAAACCTCTGTACCCCGTATTTTGCTCCTGTGGTTGTCTCAAAATAGTAGTCACACTGGGCACACTCTGCAACACCTTGGGCATGAGAGCTGACTAAATTACTCTGGGACAATCACCAGAAAACTGGGGATTCTAGTTCCTGTGCCTGAGGCATGAAAGCTGGCTGGGTGATTGTGTCAATTGCTAGGAGATTGTGAGTTCTAGTCCCATTTAAGGCATGAAAGCTGTCTGGGTGATTTGGGGGTGAATCGCCAGGAGACTGTGAGTTCTAGTGCCATCTCAAGCATGAAAGTCAGCTGAGGGACATTGGACCAGTCTCTCTCCCTCCCTCCCTCCCTCCCTCCCTCCCTCCATCTCTCCCTCTCCCCCCCTCTCTCTCCTCTCTATCCCACACATGATGGTTGCTGTAGGGACAATAGGACGAGGAAGGAGTGGGGTGTATTTTTGTCACCTTGAGTTATTTATAAAACTGATCAAAATGGGATAATCAATCATTCAATCAATCCGGTATTCCCTAGTCTATGCCTGCTTAGCTTCTGAGATCAACCCTGGTGTTGCCCTTTGCTGTGGGAAAGGTAAACAATGAAAAAGCATCCACTAGGGCAGGGGTCTCCAACCTTGCAACTTTAAGCCTAGCGGACTTCAACTCCCAGAACAGAGAGAAAGAGGGAGAGAGAAACAGAAAGGGGAAAAGAAAGAAACAGAGAGAAAGAGAAAGGGGGAGAGAAACAGAGGGGAAAAGAAAGAAACAGAGAGAGAAAGGGAGAGAGAAACAGAGGGGGAAAGAAAGAAAGAGAGAAAGGGAGAGAGAAAGAGGGGGAAAGAAAAAGAGAGAGAAAGAGGAAGAGAGAAGCAGAGAGGGGGAAAGAAAGAGAAAGAGAGAAAGGGAGAGAGAAACAGAGTGGAAAAGANATAGATAGATAGATAGATAGATAGATAGATAGATAGATAGATAGATAGATAGATAGATAGATAGATAGATAGATAGATAGATAGATAGATAGTGTAGATAGATAGATAGATGATAGAGAGATAGAGATAGATTACTGAGTGGGTTCTGAATCTCTAACACTCAGGGCTTAAAGCACAAGAGGAAAGAAGGTATTATTTTTATATTTTGTTGGTCCAAATTTATATAGTAGTTTGAAAAGCAATGGTAGGCAAATTGGAACTCTAGCCCTGATAGCAACAGCAATAGCTCTTAGACATATACCCTGCTTTCCAGCCCTCTCTAAGTGGTTTACAGAGTCAGCCTCTTGCCCCCAACAATTGGGGTCCTCATTTTACCCACCTCGGCAGGGTAGAAGGCTGAAATCATCCTTGAACCTGGTGAGATTCGAACTGCTAAATTGCAGGCAGCCATCAGTCAGCGGAAGTAGGCTGCAGTATTGCACTCTAACCACTGCGCCACCATGCACCACTATCTCATAAGATAGTAGAGAGGGAAGAGGTTGTGGGGAAGAAAATGTGCTTGACCAATGCCATGCATGACATTGTAAGCCTGTGTTGTGCTACGGTTGGTTGAATAAGCTACGATTGGCTGTATTCACACATCTCACTAAACAAGCCATATTCTGCTTAGCACAATGTGTAAACCCAGCCTATCCATAGCTTGTAAGCAAGAGGACCATATAGGGATACAACATAGTAACAAGAGGATCAAGGCATGAGCCTTAAAGGATGCTAAAGCTTGCAAGTTTAGCCATGATAGGAAACAGAATACTGGATTCCCCAATAAGCTGATTTAGGGGAAATAATAACCTTGGGATCTTTATGGAAAGGGGTGGTGTATGTTTGAACATGTGTTGGGCATTGTAAAATGAACAAAGAAATAGGTAGCACAATAATTTTATGAGTTTTCATAAGTTACAGATAGCTAGTTGGACATTTTAATCAAGTATCTCTTCTTCTGGGCAAGAAATCGTCTCAGAACTCATGAAGGAAATATGAAATCTTCCATATTGAAGTAGCATATTGAAATTTATTCTTATTATTATCACCATCAAATAAATTTATTTTGAAAGGCTATTTGAGAAGAGAGAGTTCTTTCTCTGCTGACTTCCATCCTTCCAGGCGATATGGAATGGGAAGGTGGCCTTCCATTCAGCTTAATTCTTGAAGAACCGTAGCTGAATGCCTACTGAGCTTGTTCTGAACCGTCTTCATCAGTTACAGACTGGTGGGCAAGATGGATTTTTGTTCATGGCCAATAAGGAAACTTCAGCATTCGCTGTGGATTTTCCTATCTGTAAACTAAATAAAAACTGTTCTGACCGAGGCTTCCCAAGAGCATGAGGTAAAGTCCTTGTCCTGACAAAAAAGCCTTTTATTAATTCACAATGAATTCTGCTCATTCACATCCAGCAAAGTCTTTCAAAGGAGGATTTACAGTCACAAACCTTATCTGGCTTGGAGAGCTGCCAGGCCGATATCTGCAAAACTTGGCAAGGAGTCTCCAAGAGTTACGAACCAATTAAGCAAACTAATTGTCTCCTGCAAACTCCACTCCCCTTTTCCTCCTCTTTTATTTCCTCTGGGACGTCCACCTGTGGCCTTACTCCCAAGTCGACCCCTGTTCCTTAGTTTTTTCCTTTGTCTGGCAGCTCTGTATATGTGCACACTGGGAACAGGCTCCAGCTGTTCTTCTGCCTCATTGATGTCTGATTCCGAAGGCAGCTAAATACTGTCAGACGGCCCTGGCCCCCTCTCTGCCTCTGACACAGAGCCCTCATCAGAGCCTTCTCCAGACGCTAGGACTGACCCATGTTCCTCCCCAACCTCCTCACTGTCCGAATTGGCTACCAGCTCCGCTGGACACTGTTGGGCCACAAAAGAAACAAGGTTCAAGATCTCTAAGATGTTTTGGGATCAGAATCTTGGAAGGAACATATGGGAGACCCTGTGATGGAATGAATACAATGGTGGGAAGGTTGAGGATGAGTTGTGGTGACGGTGGTTGTGGATGGCCAGTGATGGTCAGAGCTGGCCTGGGCTTTCTCCTCACCCTTATGCACTGCGAGCAGGGGAGCAATGGCGCTCTGATGCCAGACGGTGATAAGCAGCGTCCAAGGAAGCACAATCAGCACAATCGCCAAGATGTCTCGTCGCTTCGGCATCTCCAAGGCTGATGGGACCCACAGCTCCTCATTACCTGACAGCAGAAACCCCAGAGACAGAACAGGAGACCACATGGAGATCAAAGCAAGAAGGGATCAGAAGGCAGTTCAAAGGCCGCCAGGCTCACAAGTCTTACCAGCGCTCACAACCCACCCATTGCACAAGCAGGTTTGCAGAGGCAGCGGCTGCCACCAAGGAGAGGCCAGGTTGTTCCCAGCAGGGAAGATGCTTCTCTGGGTGATGTCGCTGGCCAGGATGTCAGGATCCCTTCTGGAAGGAGGTCTGCGAAGCAAAGCAAAAAGAAAGGGGTAGAACACCAAAGGATGGAATGGCCCGGTGTCCATTCCACATTGTACTACAGGGAAGAAGAACAGAAGAATAGAGTTGGAAGGGGCCTTGGAGGTCTTCTAGTCCAGCCCCCTGCTCAAGCATGAGACTCTATACCAGGGGTGTCAAACTCAAGGTCCACGGGCCGGACCTGGCCCACGGGGTGCTTAGATCTGATCCGTGGGGCCGCCTGGAAACAGCTAAGGACTGGCCCGCAATGCCTCTCTGAGCTCCATTTTCTCTGGCAGACGGTTGCCGGAGGCTGTTGCAGCTGAAAACGGAGCTCAGGAGACCATTTTCACTGGCAGAGGGCTCGGGCCACCACAGGCGTCCCTGACACGAGTGACATCGAGCTGGCCATGCCCACTCCCCAAGGTCAAACTAGGGGTGGGTTCCTGCCTGCATTACTACTGGCTTGGCGTGCAAATATTTTTTTTTGCGTGTGCACATTTGCACCTAAAANAATCTCCATTCCCTCCCCACTCCAGGGGAAGGATACTGCAAAATCCCCATTCCCTCCCGATCAGCTGGGACTCGGGAGGCAGAGAATAGATGGGGACGGGGCCAGCCAGTGGTGGTATTTGCTGGTTCTCCGAACTATTCAAAATTTCCACTACCGGTTCTCCAGAACTGGTCGGAACCAGCTAAAAACTCACAATCACCTGGTTATTGGCTCAAAGTCTCCCACCTAGCTTTCATGCCTAAAGCAGGACTGGAACTCACCCTCTCTTGGTGATTGGCCCAAAGCCACACAGCTGGCTTTCATGCCTAAGGCAGAATTAGAACTCACAGCTCCTGAATTTTTCTCCTATGGAAATTCCTTCTTACTGCCTCCCAGGAGGTCACCTGAACGCCTTCACATTCTCCTGCACGCAGAGTGTTATTCCTAGCCGTCAAGATTTATTTTTAATTATGGAAACTTCACAAATGCTCGGGGGGGGGGATGGGTACATGCACAATTTATCTTAGTGTCTTTTAAATGTTTATTAAGAACTCTGGGTAATAACAAATGTAAGTTTATTTAATGCGAAAACAAGGAGCGAGTGTCAAGCTGAGATTGCATTTGCCTTCTCTATATTTTGCTACATAAAATTCGGAGAAGCAGCTAAGAAGAGTTGAAGCATCTATTTGGCTTCCGGAGTCAGTGGCTTGATCTGCATGTAACCTTAAATCAGGGGTCAGCAACCTCTGTGGCTCTGGAGCCGCATGTGGCTCTTTCGCCCCTCTGCTGCGGCTCCCTGTCACGGATCGGCTCCACCATTGATAGGGCTTTCGGTTAGGACAGGTAGAGGAAAAAGGATGCCGCGCTCGGAGGAGACTCTATGGTGGGGGAACCTCTTCTGTAGGGTGGCCTGCTTTGTGGGAGTGGCTTTCCGGCCATGTGACCTGGTGGCAGTGGCTTGCCAGCCACGTGACTGAGTGGGCGTGGCCAACTTGTAAAATGTGGTGAAACTCACTTAACGACGCTCTTGCTTAGCAACCAAAATGTTGGCTCAGA